AACTAGCATTATATTTAAATAAAATTATTTTTATTGGTGTGAAAACTATAAGTTTATTAAAAAATGGTTTTATTAAAATATTATGAAATTCTGTTCAAAAATTTTTTAAAAAAAAACAATAACAAATAATAATAATAATAATATAAATAAATTCAAATTAAGCGAAACAAACAATTAACTTTTTTTTTTTCCGTTTAATTCGAATTTTTAAAAATAAAAAATCAAATCATCTTAATATTATCGATTACAGTATTTATACCTTATAAATTATATTTTTGAATCAAAATCACAAGTACTGTATGTGCACAATACGTATTGGATTTATAAAAAATTGGTTAAACCGAATTTCAGAAAATAATTTTTTTTTAATAAAATATTTTTGATCATTAAAAATAGATATTTGAATTTTATTTATTTAATTATAAAATTATTTGATTTAAGAATGTGTAAAAATACAAAATATTAATGATAATAAATTGGAAAAAATATTTGTATAACTTTCATAATGTTGATCCGACAATCCGAAAATCGCCAACTAAAATTTTTTTGAACACAGTATTAAACTTAAAACTTTCGGTTAATTAAGTTGAAACAGATGCATTAAAAATTCCGAATACAGTACTGTAATTTATAAACTTTATTCATACAATCAAACTTTTAAGACTATGAATAATGTTTTCACACATCGGACAGTGTATTAAACTACTCTCTAGGACGAATAAGGCATAGGCGAGTATCGGGAATTGATGCATCACATATTTCTGCAAGAGATGCAACCAATCAAGGAATCTAGATACAGTACTCATTTGCACTATTTATTTTTATCATCAATTATAAACCCACACAGGCGAAAATCCCCATCCCGTTTCATCTCATGTGCTTACGCTATTCTAAAAAGTATCAAATGTTTATTTTAAAAATGTCATTTTCATAAATTGCATAAACGAGTCCAGTCGAATTTCTCAACAGAATCCAAGTTCATGAAAAATTTTGGGAGGTATAGATATGCATCTACTAGAATACAAATTTTTACAATAATATATGCGATGAAGTTTTCCTGAATCAAGTAAAAATATACACATGTCAATAAGGTGTACTACATATTGTGAATTATGTGATTAATTAGAAAGTCCAGTATCAATAACAATAACAAATAAAGTCCGAACTATCATATTTTTTCTCAATTTTCCGTGCGATTATACCCGTTCTCCTCATCGAAATCTTTTTAAAAAAATGAGAAACCTGTAAGCAAATGTTATGTGTCTGTCAATTCACGTATCCTTTTCATACCTGTCTGACGAGAATACACACTGGACGACCTCGAGAGATGACCCGAGGCACCTGTCGCATACGGATCATACACATTTAAGTTATATGACTTGGACACATCTTGTACCGTGGAGCCACTCATACTAGAACTAGCGCCACCGTCTCTCGGGGCGAGTTTATTGGGATCGTACGCGTACGTGTCTTGGTATGTTGACACCGGGTTTTCTTGATATGGTATGACAAATGTATCCTGCTGGTCATTTCGCGATCTACCAAATCCAAATTTCCGCAGGTGTCCCCATCGAACGCTGTCCATGTACTTTGACCTTTTGTAGAGTAAAAATGAAACTATGCCAATCAAAACAGCTATTCCGATGATAACTCCTGCGATCAGGCCGCCGTTGACCTTTGTTGAACCATCTGATGAATCTACAGGGTCTGATGGTTTTTCATTTTTTGGATCATAGGAAGTTGTCCACGTGAAGTTACTTCTTTGTCTTATGTCCAAGAGATAAATATTCGATGAGAATTCACTCGTTGCGCTGTTACGACCTAAGTTATGAATTTTAAATTTGGAATCAATTTTTCTTAAAAAACAAAAGTCACCGGAAAGAAGATATAATCTACCGAATGCAATCAAAATATATGATCCAATTGACGTGGCCGTGAAATCCACCAAGTTGGGTGGTGGTCCTTGGTTAGAGATGTTTGGTTTAAAGAATTCGTAATTGTTTTTGGTGTCTACTACTACAATTCCGGATGTGATGTCTCCCTGAAAACATCCAAATATCACGATGCGACCGTCGGAGACTACTCAACAAGATGTAATTGATATTAATAAAAAACCAAATGCAGTGAATCAATAAAATGACCTACAACGGAACACCTAAGATATTACCTAGTACCGATGCAGTAGGCGTGCAACCAGATGTCACGTTATTTTTCGTGTCCTGACAAAGTCAAACGAAATTTTAATTTCATTTTTTTAAACGTCACGCTTCAATGATTTTACATATCAACTTACAATCCCTGTCCAAACATCACTCTTTGTGTCATAAGACCAAATCTAGAAACATTAAAAAGAAGTCGTGAATATAAAGCATTTCATGCCCTGCGACAAATATATTGACTTACCTTCTGATACAAGAGGTACGACGATGTATCCCCCATCTCTCCGCCAACAAAAATGACAGTTCCATTTTGTAATATTACGTTATTTTTATTTCGAACAGTCGTTACCTTTGAAGGGCGCTCAAGCCAAGCCAAACTCGTCGTATCAAAGGCAACTATATTACCGGTAAACATGTAAATTTTCCCATCGCCAGTGGTTAGGCACTGGTTTGCGACACTGCTGGAATTCTGTGTCGTCAGTCCACTAATGACAGGCGTTTTCCACGATAGATCGGTCAAATCAAATCGAATCACCGGGGGCGGAGTATTTCCCAAATCTCCGAAAATGAAGATGCTTTTTCCGCTTACACACGAGAAGGCAAAAGAACGAGACGGTTGAAGAGGAAGGGAGAGATTCGTCCAGGGAATCGATGATTGATTGGTGGTATCAAAGGGGGTGGATAGATTTAGATAGAAGAAGTCGCTGCTGACTGAAGGACTGGAGCCCGCTCCACCCTGAAAGTAAACATTTAATTCATATAGTACTGCGCTGTGTCCAGCCCTTGCGCTTGGGGTGAATGAACCCTCAACGCAAATGAAATAAAAGGCGAGCACACTCAGGGATGTCAACCATGATAAAAGACTCATGGTGATTTTGGATTCTTTAGAATGTGAAACAGCTACGTATGTGTAATTCCTAAGTGAATTAAATTATTTCATATCACGTGGAAAATCTGCCTAGTGACAACTCTTACAAAACAAATTATCCAGCACGTATGTCGAGATAACGAATTTCGCAAGTTGTAAAAGAAAATCTATCAAACTGAACAAACTCTTGTTTTTTTAATTCTTATAAAGGGATTTTTTTGCAGTGTTCGTTTGTCAGCCATAAATATCTTGATTATTGTGTACGAAACAAAAGAATTCCTTTTATAGCAAACTGTGTAGAGTGACTAGAGTATGGTGTGTTACATTCTTCTGTAGGTTTATGTATGTTCGTAACACCATGAAGATGTACACCTCGATTCCTTCAGGGGAATACTGCATGACTTTGGTATTACTATTACAAATTACTAGATGACGATCTGGCGTTAAATTGATGGATCAACGACACCTCACAGGTTCCAATCATGCGTACGAATAAAAAAAAATCGTGATGTATTGTTGACTTTGTATTTAATAAACAAAGGCATTATTACCACAACTCGCTATCTTTAATTTTTCCTTCCTAGATCATCGTCATGATGATTTCATAAACACACGGCGCCGATGATCACTTAACCAAATTCTCCTCCACACGCACATACACACAAGAAATTATGCAATCATCAAAGGCTAAAAGTCCAAGTTTCGATGCAACGTTCAATTATAAAATTTTCTTTACGGAAAAATTTTTATAGGTAAAATCTACTAGACTTGCATAAACGGTAACCTTAAACAAACCTTGTCATAATCATCTTTGTTATAATGGACAGAGGAAGCTCGGTTTCCTTCTAGAAGATTGATTAATGTGACCGACACATTCTTTGTGAAATTAGTTTCCAACGGTCATCAACCAGAGAACGCATTCTAAATCATTTGGAATGTCGATTAATTACGTAATAGTTGTTTTACCGAAGCCACATTTTTTAAATAAAAAAAAAGTTATCAACTAAACATGTATGGCAATGGCAATAATGTATACAATGTAAATTTCTTTAATGATTATTTTTCCGGGAAAATTTGGTTATAATCGGTTAGTCAAATCGCCATTCCATGAGTCTCATCGATAAATTGCGGAAAAACTGCGTCTAACATAGATTTAAACACGTGATTTTTATAAAGGAGGAGTGGAGTGCAAAATCAATATTTATATTCACGTTCTTAAGATGATTGTTCTTTTTTTAAATCGTAAATATTTGCCCTGAAAACACACTAAGTCCTTGTTACGACTCAAGGATCTCGTTAATTATAGTAAACAAAAGCATTATGTTGACAAACGGTCACACGAGCGCGAAATTTATTCTTGGATGCATACGTGCGACAATTCTAAAAATGTCATTGCCTCATGCAAAAATCACCGAACGAATAATCAATTGAGTTGTAGGTAGAGTAAACAAACCATCAAAACACGTTACTCTAACCGCTTTAAAAAAAAAAAAAAACGTTTTTTCTCAATCAATTCGTAAGGTGCATAAAATGGTACGCGATTTGTATTTTTTTCAATGTTTTTGCACCAATTTAAATAATAATTTAAACTTTTTGATTGTTACTTGATTATAAAACAATGATCAATTATCAAAGTTGGTTTAATAAGAAATTATTTTTTCTAACTTTTCTATCATAAAAAAGATAATAATCGAATAATGAAGAATGTTAATATATAGTATGTATATAAACACATATTGTAAAGTATATTGAAAATATTGTAAAAATTAAAATGCCAACTGTAATTTAAAAAATCTTATACACCGCGTGTAACAAAACTTGTTGAAAATTTTTATTTATTTTGTTATTTAAAAATTTATTTTACTTTTTATTTTTTTGATAATAAAAGTAACAATAAATAATATAAGGGCAAATGTTAATATGGTGAAATAAGAAATAATAAAAATGTTGTTAGTTGATTTATATAGTATACTGTATTTACCGTATAAAGTTTATTTTATTTAAAAAATTTTTTTTATAATTTAATACATTTTTTTTTGAATAAGTGACTTATACCTTGTTTTATTAAATTTTTTTAATTGGATATATACAAATTTATTTTATACAAATTTCTAATTCTTTTTTTATGGCTTATTTTCAAGTATTAGCATATAATTAACTAATATGTTAAGACTCTATCAATTCCAATTGAAAATAATATTGAAAAAATAAATATATTTCAATTGATCCAATTAAAATTGACTGAATATATTATTTTATTAAATTCTGATATAAGAGTTTTTTCTGATCCTGTTTTTTTTTTATTTTTATTTTTCTTATTTTTAAAATTGTTTCTTTTTTTTATTTGTTAAATTCACATTTGTTTATTTATTTGTTATTTATTTTTATTACACTAGTTCAAATTAGATTATTTGGCTGCTGAATTACAATTGATTAAATTCAGATTTATTAATAAAAGTTTATACCAAAGTTTTGTTGTTTGGTCCAATTTATGTCATTTGGCACTTAGAAAATAAATAATAATTCATCAAAAAAAGTATCCCTTAAATCATAAGGCATTTTTTTTATAATGTTTAAAATTTTTTAACTAAAAAGTTACTTTTTATTTATTTTTTTAACTAGTCAAAATATTTTCTAAAAATTTATATAATATTGGTTTTAATTATATATTAACTATTGATAGTATTTGTTTTTTATTTATTTAATAAAAATTTAATATTTAATTATAAGCAAAATTTTTGATTTTTTAAAAAAAATTTTTTAATAAAAGTTAATCTTAACCAAATTTCAAAATTTTTTAAATTAAAGTTTATATAATTATAATTAGTATTGTAGAATTATTTGCAAAAAATAACTTTGATTATTACAATTTTAATAATTTAATTATAAAAATTTTAACTTGTATTAAAAGCAAAGTAATTTTTTTATTTTAAACATATATTAAATTTTATATAATTTTTTATATTAAACCAATAAAATTTTAATTTTTTACTTAATAAAGTTAATAAAAAATATCTTAATAAGTAAATTATAAAAATTAAAATTTTAAATATGCAGATAGATTTTTCTGCATTATAATTTAAGGAATAATATTTGGCAAAAAATAATTATTCAGTAATCAAAGCATTTAGTAATAAAATTATTTGGTAATAAAATCATTTAGCAATAAAATCATTTAGCAATAAAATTATTTAGCAAAAAAAATATTTAGCAAAAAAATATTTTTAGTTAAAAAATATTTGACAATAAAGTTACAACATTCTATAATAAAAATTATAACATTTGGAATAAATTTTTATTATTTAACTATAAAGTTGACAAAATTATTTAGCATTATATACTTAAGTAAAATCAAATTGTATATTTTCAATAAAAAATTTGCATTTATAATAATATTCAATAAAATTTAATTAATACTTGATAAATTTATTAAAAATGTAAAAAATTTAAAATTTAAAATAATTATTCACTAATTATTCATTAATTATTCACTTATCTTTTGCTAATTATTTACTAATTAATTATTCAATAATTTAATTGTTCATTTATTATTTTCTAATTCTTTACTTATTACTTATTTATTATTTGCTCATTATTTACTAAATGTCTCCTCTATTTCTTCATTTAAATCTTTCTGCTTATAATTATCTTTTTCTTTTGCTGATTTTACTATGACTCTTATAACTCTCAAAAATTTTACAATGCCAAATTTTCTTTGCTTTGAGATTCTTTTTCATAATTTTTGTACTTTGTATGCTTCATGTACTTCTTATAATTTTTTTTAAATTTTTTCTTTTAATATTTCCCTCTAAATTTTATTCATTCATACACTTTTTCCAATTTGATACTCCTTTTTCTCTAAATATATAAGTAATTTCTCATAATCAGAAATCCTTTATCTTTTATATTTTTTTACTAATTGTTTATCTTTTTTACTTTGTTCTATTTCTTGCTTTTTATCCTTCAATTTACAAATCCAACTCAGCAAGTTTTCTGATAAGATTATATTATGAAAATAGGATTTACTATAGTTTTATTTATGAATTAATTAAAATGGTTGAATTAACTTTGAATATTTATTTAAATTTTCTAATAAATCTTTCAATTATAAAATAATTAGTAATAAATTAATTATTTGGCTTAAAATCATTTATTAAAAAATATCTATCAGAATGTCAACTATAGTTATATACATTTATTCTTCTTTTATTGTTATTTTCTAAATTAATTTTACTTTTTTCAGCCAAATGGACTTTTGGTTCTTTAACTATATTGATTAATTTTTTCCAATATTTTGCAATACTCTTGAATTTTTTGTCAATAAATAACTGTGTACTTTTAATTCTTTATGCCTTTTTTTTTAATATTCAGTAAAAATTAATATACTGTAAGTAATACCAATTAATTTTATCTCATTTAATTGACTATTTGTATATAAATGATAATTGTCTGCATTTAGTTTTCATGTTTGTATCTTTTGATGTTGTGAATGGGAAAAGTATAATGAGGGATGGACGCGTAACGCGATTCGCGCGTCGCGTGTCTAAAACCCAGATATGTGATGTTGAAAATGGAATAGTTTAGACGATAGTTTATTAGTAAGCTTAAAAAGTCTAAATCCGTGACGTCAGCGATAGTCTATTCTAGCATAGC